ATTCTTGCCAAGTTGAGTATATACTTGTTTTGTCTTCTTCAAAACAACATAAACATACTTGTCCATGAAATTCATGAATGAAAGAGAGAGAAAATAGCCGGATGTTAAAAATGAAAAAGAAACAACAATGGAAGACAAAGATTGGAAGAAATAGAGTGGATAAAGAATGGAAGACAACCGTTTGGTAATTGATAGGGTTATTCTTGGCTAATGTGTTGGATAGTTGAGTAGTGGTTTAAAATTTAGAGGGCATTCTGAGTGCAAAAAAATGTGAATTTACCGATTCACATACTTGGTTTTTCTTCTTAAAAACAACATAAACATATTTGTCCATGAAATTCATGAATGAAAGAGAGAAAATAGCCGGATGTTGAAATTGAAAAAGAGACAACAATGGAAGACAAAGATTGGAAGAAATAGAGTGGATAAAGAATGGAAGACTACCATTTGGTATTTGACAGGGTTATTCTTGGCTAATGTGTTGGATAGTCGGGTAGTGGTTTAAAATTTAGAGGGCATTTTGAGTGCAAAAAAATGTGAATTTACCGATTCTCCCTTGTCAGACCCTCTAATTATGAAAATAACTCCAAAAAGCACTAGTTGTGACAAGTATAATATTCACTAGAAATTAACATCTCTTTCCAGTCTTTATGGATATATCCTACTTCATTTATAGGTAAATCAAGCCTAATCATTCATGTTTACTTGTCCTCGAGCTTTGAGATTCGGCTTAACTGGCAGTGTTAGAGGGAGTGACGATTTTGGTATATGATGTTATGATTGGCCTATTTAAGCGTAACATAATTGGATAGTTCCAATCTTGCCAATATTATCTACATCTAGTTTAGGAAGGTTTCTTGTTCTACCGACAGGTAGTTGGGTATCCCCTCTTACATATCAAATTATTGAAGACTTGTGCAAATAACCGGGTAGAATGGACTGGTTGTTTGTTCTACATGGCTGAGCAATTGCTTTCAAATCTAATACTAACTGATGATCTTTAATGAAATCTTCTATCTGACGTAGGTAGAAAAACACCCATGGACATTTTTTCTGCTGTCTCATTTCTATCATGCACGTGTGTTTACTGTTTAATGCTACTGTGAATTAAAATTGAACTAGTGGTTCTTGTGATAACATGTGACCTTTTTTTTGTTTTTTTATCTTCTTAATTATATGCTTAAGTTATCATTGCCCTTAGAGAATTTCAGCTAAGACCCGTGCCTAATTAATTATGAGCATGAGTTTTCTTATTGTTGGTCATTTTAGTTCATTAGTAAGTGAACTTTTAAATTTCTTTAGAAAAGTAAATACTTCTTCCGTTTCAATTTGTTTTACCTACTTCCCCTTTTTAATCAATTTCAAGAAGAACTCTTTCCCTATTTAGTAACTTTTTAGTTTCATCGTTTTCACATGACATGTTTAAAACCAAAAGATTAAAGAACATTTTAGTACATTTGACATATCTTTAATTTAAGACCACAAGTTTCAAAAATCTTCTTTGTTTTCTGAAACTCTGTGCCAAGTCAAAGTAGGCCAAACAAATTGAAATGAACGGAGTAACGTATAAAGAATTAATTCATTTCTGTTTGGAAATATATGGATTCATGGCTTTATCAGGTCGTAACATTAGCAGAAACATTTTTGTTTTTAATCTCATTTTGGCGACCAATTTTGTTACTACCTAAAACTATAATGCAAAAAGTACAACTTCTTTTTTTCCTTTCTAGTTTGCAGTTCAATTCTTGAGTATGTCGGTGTGGGCTTCCACCTTCCCTTCATAGCATGCTTCTATTTCTACCTGTAACTATACAAAGTTGACTAATTAGCTTCTGCTTATTGCATGAGCTGCAACTGAAAATTGTGTTTTAACAAAATTGATTGTGATGAATTAAAAGCATTGTGACCTCCTGTCCCAGCACTATTTTGCTAACTCTGCTATTGCTTCAATATTAGAGTCCTTACTACTCTGAAATGCTGTAATCACTAATTGCCAGTCAAGTCCTGAGTTTTGGAATCTTCAATTGGAAGATCAGCTCAGCATGAGATTTCTTTGGTTCAGAATGAAACTTGATTGAAGTTGCAGACCTCATTGGTTGTCTTTGTTGAGCTGTCAACTCCCTTATGTCACTACTTTTACTGACGACTGTTATTAACTGAAAGAGGATAGCAGTGATGTAACACTTTGCCTTTTTTATCTGAACTGCAATAGTTGCAGCTTTCTCATGAGCATATTTTGTATGCATGGGTGACTGATCTTTAGGATTGAATGCATCTTCCACCTTCCCCACAGGCCATAATTGGTAAACTGGTTGAGAGTTCTAAAATGTTACTGATATTTTTGTCAGCCGTGAGCTATTTAACAAGTGGCAAGCTCAACATTGGTGGGCTGAGAATTATGACAAGGTCATGGAATTATACAATGTCCGCAGGTTCAATCGACAAGCAGTACCATTGCCAATCCCTCCGAGGTCTGAAGATGAGGTGAGCCTTGTGGGTTAGTAGCAAAATGTTGCAACCAATCCTATTAAATTGCTTGGAGCAGCACTCTTGCCTTCTTGCTCTTTTGTATTGCAAGTACATGTATTCATGTATGTTTCTTATTCATTATATGTACTATTTTGTTTCAGAACTTGAAGCTTGATTACGCTGAGAGTAGTCCGGTAACACCTCCACTAACCAAAGAGCGTCTCCCTAGCCACATTCATCGTTCAACAGGGGTGGATCACTTGTCATCAGGCTCTCTTGAAAGAGATCCATCACAATCTCATCATTATTATGATGCAGGTGGTCTCACTTCGACCCCTAAACTCTCCAACATCAGTGCGACAAAAAGTGAGACACCATCAATGGATGCTTCTGCACGGACTAGCTCTTCAAGGGAGGCTGATCGCTCAGGAGAGCTGTCTGTTAGCAATGCCAGTGATGTTGAGACTGAATGGGTTGAAGAAGATGAGCCTGGAGTCTATATCACGATTCGAGCGTTGCCTGGTGGTACTCGAGAGCTTAGAAGAGTCAGGTTCAGGTTAGTAATTCTTTTATGCGTTTATCAGCTCCTATTTTAAAACTCGACAATATCAGAAGAACTAAATCTGTCCATCTTGCCTTTTGCTGGCTTCTAAAACTTTTATCTTGATTTCTTCAGCGCCACCCTCTACTCCTATGTGCATGAGTTCTTCTCTAGTGAATGGCAGTGAGGATAGAGGGTTATGAATTTTTAGTGCCATCCCATCAACTGAGTCATTTTATTTTATCTAATACAAGAGTGAAGTTTGTGTGTCATTCTTGTTCCCTGATTCACAAGGGCAATTTGTCCGTCTACTAAAAAATGTTTGATGGTTGAAATACTGTGGGATTTACTTTCATACTAGTACTAGTATATCTAAGGTTGACATCCATCTATATATTTAAATGGGGATGTTTTCTTGTGCTTTCCATGCTTTAAATTGTGAGTCATTCCTAAGGTTGATTACTGCTCCAATGATTGTGAAAACGAATCTTCTCCTTATTTTTAATCATGATCCATTAGCAAATTGAGTATCCTTAATGAAACAAAGCTCAGCAACAAAATCTTGTATATAGTTGTGTCTCACGATTGAAAGATTAAGCAATAAGCTCTTTTCTGACGCGGAATGATGATTTTTTTTTATGCAGTCGTGAAAGATTTGGAGAAATGCATGCCAGGTTGTGGTGGGAAGAGAACAGAGCCAGGATCCAAGAACAGTACTTGTGATTTAGGACATAATTTGGAGTTCTTTAAATCAATATTCATCCATAATTAGTATCTTAATGCTTCTGTACTTGGCATCAATCCGGGCCACTCATTGTTTTCTTTTTCTTAAACTAGTTGCTTAGGCTTTTTTTTTTTCTGGGTGGAAAGGCTTAGAGGCCTTTTTAATGTTGTACTGACTGTTAATGAAGAAATATAGACAAATACTACAAATCATATGAAATGTAGCTCATGTTAATGTATATGTAGCTATTCTGCCATGATTTTCGAATATGTTTATATCTTACTTCTTAGATTAGTGTTCAGTTCATTTTTTAGTTTACAACCTTAATATGTTGTTGGTTTGCGTAAAATAATTTCATTAAAACACTTGCGTGAATAAAATAGAGCGAATGCTACCAAGGCTGCTCCGCTCTTATTAAGAGATATCAGATTTGATCTTTGAGTAACGAGAAAATCATGTTGAGAGCACCACACATAGAATGAGCCTTGTTGTGTGCAATTCAAAATTAATTGGTGATCCAATGCAGAATCAAACATTGGATGAAAACTCGGAAAAAATGAATTTTCTTTAAAATAGAAAAATAAATTTCTTAAAAATCAGATGAATCACTTCTCTTGTGAAAATATGACGAATAAGTTTCATTAATGACATTTCATATTTATTGTATTCTCCCAACTTTCCAAAACACTTCATTTTCACCCCACAAATAGGAGAAAATGACATAAATAGTCCCAATGCATGGATTAGTAATGCAGGGATTAGTAGTGCATGAATTATTTTTTGTCAAGTGTTTGGTTCACTACTTTTCACTTAATTTTGTGTTTGATTTAAAACTCTACAAAAAACTTCTTTCCTATTATACCCTTGTGTTATTATGAGTGTTTATTTCATGTAATTGGGTTAGGGTAGATAACCGCCGGACCGGACAATTTTTTTTTAGGAATTTCTATTCCATTTAATTAGTTAAGGTGTGATGTATCACTAAGAAGATCATTGATGGCACGGGTGTACTTCTAATTTTTTGTTGGTCAAGTATATCTTAAACTTAACATAGATTTAAGACTACTTAAATTGTTCAATACCAAAAGTTTTTTTTTAAAAACAAAAACAAATAGTCAAGTGGGTAATCGACAAATAGCACCATATTCCATAATATTTGTGTAGATTATATATAAATATTTTTTATAAATAATTTTTGGTTACAAATACAAAAATAAATATAAAATATTCGTTGAAAAACATTCTTCAAGAAAATATTTCCAATTATATTGAGCATATCGATATTAAGCTATTTTTGAAAAAATGCTGGATTTTCTTTTCTGCAGAACTTTTAAAGTTCTTATCAAAGCTTTTTCAACGAAACACAACTACAAAGACTCTCCACAAAAAAGATCCTGTCGGCAATTGATTGAGAAATCAACAACCTGTTGATTTGAATCAGGATTTTCTCTGTCTCTGTTGTCTGGTCAAGCTTGTTGCAGGCACTGCCCAGTTCAATTTGCAATTTCAACTTCTGGATTTCGGTAATGTCTTCTTACTTTCACTTCAGCACTTGTATGATTCCTCAGAAGTGTACAGTAATAAATTAAAATTTGAATTTCTAAAAACTCTTCGCATATTCATTAGCGGAGATGCGGAGATGTTGGATGTAGTAGTCACGAGATAGAGATAGGCCGAAAAGGTATTAGAGAAAGTGATTAGACAAGACATGGTGCAGCTTTTGACCTTAGATAAGAGCCGCCTATTAGGGTAGAAGATTATTAGCAAGTGAAGAATTGTGCTTTCGAGGGTTCAAGCTTATTGGTATTCTTGTAGTTGTAGTTTTTGATATGTATATTCATTTTGTTTATTGTGTTTTGGCTACTGCACTATTTTGTTGTTGTTCATATTCTTTTCTTGTAGGCTTTGCACTGTTTTTCTTATTAGTTGTTATGTTTTTTGTCACTGTTTTCTTCTTCTTTATACCTGAAATTGCTGCAAGTGAGCCAAGAGTCAATCGGAAACAACCTCTCTACCTCCACGAGGGAGTGGTAAGGCCTGCATACACTCTATCCTCCCCAGGCGTCACTTGTGGGATTTCACTTGGTATGTTGTTTTTGTTGTTGTTGTTCTTCTTCTTCTCATATTCACTTCTGACGATTTAAGGCCCTGTTTGGATAGAAGATGCCTTTTTTTGTTTTAAAGAAAAAATACATTCCATATTCGTTTTCATATGACAATATTTGGTTAGGAATGGAGTAGTTCAACATGTTTATTTGACTTTAGATTATATTAGCGGGAATAAAAGAACGCTCTAACGTGATTGTTGAGAAGTTGTTTAATAGAGAAAACATCACATCAGAATTTACAACAACAACAACATACCTAGTGTAATATCCCACAAGTAGGGTCTGGGGAGGGTAGGATGTACGCATACATTACCCCTACCTTTGTGAGGTAGGGAGGTTGTTTTTGATAGAGACCCTCGGCTCAAAAGGAATGTTATCAAAGCAGGAATCACATCAAAATTTGAAATCTCAAAAGTTCACTGGATTTAGCTGTATTGAAATAGAACAGAACATTTTGCAATGTCCCCAAATAGGACTTGTGTCATATGAATTGCAACTGACAGTAACCAATTATGTAACAAATTTTTGTTTTAGGCACACCATGATGGCAGGATTGACGCAGTCTTCTCTGTGTCATCGAGGGAATTTCCATGGACAGTCTTTTCAGGGATGTAGGCAATGGGAAACTGGGAATAATGGGATCTCTTAATTTCTTTTCTGGAGAGCTTTTAAAGTTCTTATCAAAGCTTTTTCAACAAAATACAACTACATAGACTCTTTGAAAAGATTTTCTCTGTCGGCAATTGATTGAGAAAAGCTTGAATCAATAACTCTTTGATTTGAATCAGGAATTCAACTTGATCAGCATAATAGGACAAACTGTCAAGCTGCCTCTGTTGTCTGGATAGGCTTGTTGCAGGCACTGCCCAGTTTAATTTGCAATTCCAACTTTTGGATTTCGGTAACGAATACTTACCTTCACTTCAGCACTCGTATGATTCCTATGTACAGTAACAAATTAAAATTTGAATTTCTAAAGTCTCTTCTCATATTCGTCAGCGGAGATGCGGAGGGGTTGGATGTAGTAGTCACGAAGGAGAGGTAGAGCTAGAGGTAGGCCGAAAAAAGTATTAAGGAAAAGTGATTAGACACGACATGATGCAGCTTCTGACCTTAGATAAGAGGGAGAGGGAATGGAGACCGCCTATTAGGGTAGAAGATTATTAGCTAGTGAACTGTTGTGCTTTCGATGGTTCAAGCTTATTGGTATTCTTATAGTTGTAGTTTTTGATATGCATATTCATTTGCTTATTGTGTTCCGCCTACTGCACTATTTTGTTGTTGTTCATGTTCTTTTTTTGTAGGATTCTTATTAGTTGTTATGTTTTTCGTCACTGTTTTCTTCTTTATACCTGAAATTGCTGCACTTGAGCCATGAGTCAACCGGAAACAACCTCTCTACCTCCACGAGGTAATGGTAAAGCCTACATACACTCTACACTCTACCCTCCCCAGACGTCACTTGTGGGATTTCACTTGGTATGTTGTTGTGTTTGTTGTTGTTCTTCTTCTCATATTCACTTCTGACTATCTAAGGCACTGTTTGGATAGAAAATGCTTTTTTTTTTTGTTTTAAAGAAAAAATACATTCCATATTTGTGTTCATATGACAATATTTGGTTAGGAATGGAGTAGTTCAACATGATAATTTGACTTTAGATTATATTAGTGGCAATAGAAGAAAGCTCTAACGTGATTGTTGAAAAGTTAGTTTAATAGAGAAAAAATCACATCAGAATTTACAACAACAACATACCCAGTGTAATATCCCACAAGTAGGGTCTGGGGAGGGTAGAATGTACGCATACATTACCCCTACCTTTGTGGGGTAGGGAGGCTGTTTTCGATAGAGACCCTTGGCTAAAAAGGAATGTTATCAAAGCAGGAATCACATCAAAATTTGAAATCTCAAAAGTCCAGTGGATTAAGCTATATTGAAATAGAACGGAACATTTTGCAATGTCCCCAAATAGGAATTTTGTCATATAAATTGCAACTGAGACAGTAATTGATTATGTAACAATTTTTTGTTTTAGGCACGCCATGATGGCAGGATTGATGCAGTCTTCTCAGTTTCATCGAGGGAATTTCCATGGACAGTCTTTTCAGGGATGCAGGCAATGGGAAACTGGGAATAATGGGATCTCACAATTTGAGCTCTCAACTGAGAGTGCATCGGGCCCTTGCATATGCCCAACAAAGGATGAACAAAGGTCAACTAAGGAAGAAGTTGTCTCAGCAAATTCCCTCATCATCAGTCAGGTGACAAATTTTAATATCTCCAGCTTTATATGTAATTGACTAAAAAATCTGACTGTCATTTTTTCTACTGATTTTTTCACCACACCGTGGCCGGCATAGATATGACTTCCTTAGGCTATTTAGTGTATTTGTTTTCATATTTGAGGTGAGGTAGCACCCTCCAAAGACGTTGTCATAGCTTTGTTTTACAACTTAATCAGGTCATGAATTTAATTAGTGGTTAAAGCCATCAAACGGAAGAAAATCCATTGATGTTTTGTTCCTTTGGGAATTTCCTATCACATGAGGTATTTTTCGTTGAGAAGAGTCCTGTACGAACTGAACTAGATTATTGCAGGTATATGTCTTAAAATCAGCTTGAAATTCCTTCAATCATTGGCTTCCTCCTTTCAACTCGGGATGCCTAGTGCTACCTTTTTTTTTTTTTGGATAAAGGTAAAGTTGTATTCTTCAGCATTAAGGGTATGTTGGCAACCTCCAAAAAATTACAAGCTATTTCCATAATTATATAGATCCTAGGAAATCTACCAATTGTTCTACTTCTTCTATACACATAAAAACATGTTAATGCAATTTTCTTTAACCTTCGGAATAGTGTTAGTAATATTCTAATGCACCTGAGATTTCTCTCTCCAAATAGCCCACCAGACGCAAATAGGTACCCTAATGCTACCTGTTATTTAGTGCTACAGGCTAATTGCCATAAAATCTCCTATTAGGTCTTCTTCTGTTGCAGGAGGTCAAGCATTTTTCTATGGCACCCATTTACTTTGCTACTTTAGTAGATCTACTAAAGGGAAAAAACCGTTCTTACTGTAATTTTATTTTCTTTCTTCTTGATTCAATGATTAACAATTTGAAACTAGGCCTGACTCTGTCTTAAAGATAATTGGTTAAGATTCAATTGAAGTTAGCTATTCCAAGGTATATGGCACAAGTGCCTCCTAATGGATGTAAAGCTTTCTGGTAGGGGCACAAAGCTTCATAAAGTGGTTCTTAAAAAACTATTCTCACTGTAATTTTATTGTCTTTCCTGTAGATTCAATGATTAACTATTTGAAACTAGGTTCGATTCTTTTTAAAGATCATTGACTAAGATTTGATAGAAGTTAGCTATTCCAAGAGATATGACGCGAGTGCCTCTTAACGGATGTGAAGCTTTTTGGTAGGGGCAAGAAGCTTCATAAAGCGGTTCTTAAATAACCGTTCTCACTGTAATTTTATTATCTTTCTTGTTGATTCAATGATAACAATTTGAAACTAGGTCTTACTCTCCTTAAAAATCATTGATTAAGATTTGATAGAAGTTAGCTATTCCAAAAGATATGACGCGAGTGCCTCCTAATGGATGTGAAGCTTTCTGGTAGGGACAAGATGCTTTATAAGTGGTTCCTGCTGGATGAGATGAGTAGAAGTCTTGATTTCGTTTCTATAAAATAATAACATGAGTTTGCGCCCTCTTGCCCTATCCTAGGTGGACAGGTTTACTTGGAACCTAGATTGTCAGGACTAGCAAGTTTCCCAGTGAATTATTGAGGTGTGCCAAGCAGACCTGAACCATAAAAAGGAAGTTAGAGAACTCTGTTTGGTGCTTGAAGTTAAAGAACTTGAAGCAGTTATTCATTTGCATGTTCGATTATCTTGTAGATGATTAGAATCATCACCATCAATAAGAAGAAGAAGCTAGAGAATTATTTTTGGTGTTTAAAGTTAAAAAACTTGCAGCACGAAAATGCTTCATTAATTGGACTTATCTTTTATCATTTCATGTTCAACTATTTTGGGATCAATAAAGATGATGGAAAAGTATACCTCTTACACAATCAAATATTAAATACGATTAGAAATCAAGTGTTATTACGTGTTCCTTCGGAGGCATTTCCCAGATGTCAAACAATCATCTCAGAACTGGTACAGACAAGGGGAATCCGAAGAATAAAGTGCAATTACATGTCCTAATATCTTAGGCCCCATTTTTTGCATTAAGATTAAGACATTTGAATCTGAATGCGCATTAGAGTGATTAAGGTTGTTTGTTTTTTAACATCTGTATACGCATAATTTAGTTATTTTAAAATATAATTAATATACAATTCAAATAAAAAAGTTATTAAATATTAGAAAAAATATATAAAATAAAATCATTAGTTGATAAAAAATGAAACATTTATGTTCGCTAGTAATGGTGTAACTGGTTTGCAGTGGTGGTGATGATGGTGATGGTTGTTACTAGTGGCTAGTAATGGTGGTGGTGATAGTTATGATGGTGAAGGTGGCTGGTGTTGTAGTGGTTGGTGCGATGGTGGTGGTGATGATGATTGTGATAGTAGAGTTGGTTGATGTTAGTAGTTGGTGGTGTTGGTGGTAGCGGAAGAATGTGTGGTGGTTGATGATGGTGTTAGTGTTGGTGGTAGTTGGCGGAGGTGTTAGTTGTAATTGTGGAGGTGGTTGGTAGTAGGAATTGTCCAGAGTGGTGGTAGTGACCAATAGTGGTAGTTTCAATAGATATTAATTATAATGATGGAGGTGGTAGGTGTGGTAGCGACTTACAATAGTGGTTGACAGTGGTAGTTGATGACAAAGGTGGTTGATGGTTGGCGACGGTGGGTGTGGTTGACCGTGGTGATGGTGATGGTAGAGGTGGGCGGTTGTCGACAAAGTGGTAGTGAATAATATTACACTTTGTTCAAGGTTTTAATGATTTAGACCAATTCCGAACAAATAAATGTTTAAATCTTAATGTAAACAAATGCATTTAATGGCCTAAGGTTTGAACCATTCAAATTTAGACCTCCATTAAGTGCAAACAAATGAGCTCTTAGACTTACTTTGCATGTGCTGATTATCCTTGGAAAATAAATATGCCTGAGAACTATAAAGGAAAAATTACTGCCCAATACCTTTGGGCCATCTAGTTTACAAAATATGTATACAATGTATATGTAGTGTATACTTAATACTAAATATTGTACATACCTATAGTGTATATTTTGGTCATGTATGGTAAATTAGATGGCCAAATAGTATATATTGGTAACTATCCCAACTGTAAATCCCCTTTTAATAAAAAATAGATCAACTGAAGGACATTGCAATTGTTGCATTTAGGTCCATATGTATACCTTTGAGTTTTCTTGTTAAATCTCAACCCTTAGTGTCATGTAAGCTATACATTGAAATATAGCTCTAGAACAAAAATGTTTGTGTGTGATTGTGATTAAAGTTATGTCTGCATGGTTTTGTATATGTGTTGAAACTGAGAGTCATTTAAAGCTGTCTTTATTATGTGATTATCTTCACTTGTTCAATTTTGCTTTCTCCTCTTGGGCAGGTTGCGTATAAACTTGTTGAATTTAATGTCTAAGCGGTAGTCAATGTCGCGTTCTCTATTCCGTTTTATAGTAATTTGGTTTTTTCTGCTCACTTTAGTGTTGTAACTTACTACAGAAGGACATCATGTGTGAAACCTAGGTTTGCCTTTGAACCAAAATGGGAAATAAAATTAAGATTCTGAATACTTCGTCACAACTTAAGTGGTTGAAGCAAATGCCTACCATTTCTTCTCCGAATTTCCCCTCTTACCGTCTTCAACAGCAGAGGCAGCATCGAATGCTTATACAGAAATAATTAGCTTCACTTCAACACTTGCTTCAAAAATCAATGCTTTTAAACCCAGAAGAGTTATCGCAAACTGCACAGCCGCCACAACAGCAATTGGGGCATCCCCAGATGCATCAGAATCAGCAGCTCCAACAGCAACAACAACAACCTCAGCAGGTTTTGCATCAGCAGCAATCTTCTCCAGCAATGGATTTCCCTAGTGACCACAATTCTCTGAGTTTGACTGGATCAGAACCAGATGCCACTGGATCTGGGACAACAACTCCTGGGAGTAGTTCAAGCCTGGGGACTGAAGCAAGCAATCAGTTTCTTGGGAAGAGAAAGATTCAGGATTTAGTTTCACAGGTTTTCCCTTCACCTTGTTAATCTCCAAAGCTTTCTATTTTCCTTGGTGGTTACTCAAGCCAATCGTTGGAATCAATTTTTTTTTTTTTAATTTTCACAATCAATTAAAATTGGTGCACAAAATATGTGAAAAGGCTGTTTTCGATAGACCCTCGGCTCAAGGAAAAAAAATAGCATACTTGTAAAAACAGTTAAGTTCTATATATAGGTTTTGTGGTTATTAATACTGCAACTTTTTAACATCTTTCCACATATTATGATAATGTTTCAGGTGGATCCACAGGGAAAAGTTGATCCTGAAGTTGAACAGCTTCTTTTAGAGATCGCTGATGACTTTATTGATTCGGTGAGGCATAGAAATGATTTGTTCCTTGTTATCGCTAGCTTTTTTGTTAGGATTGGACCAGGAGGTTGGGAGACTGCGGGTTTCATGTTTTGCATGCTGCCTTTCTCATTCTTTTCGGTTCAAGTTCTAAGATTGTTAGCTTTAAAAACTGTGGTTGAATACATTGACATAGCCAGTAAAGAGGATTTTTTCTTGAAGGGTCATCATATGCTGATTCTGGATTCTTCCTTTCACACTTACCCCTCACTCAAATTTAAACTAACAATTTTAAAAATAATAATAAAAGACCCCCCTCTTTTCCCATTTTTGAGTTGTAATGCCAAAAAAAATATCAAAGGCATGACAAGGAACCTTTTTTAAGAAGAGTTTCCTTTTGAAATACTTTCTGGAGAAACATTGATTGTTTGTCATTTTCTTTGCTAAGTTTCATGTTCCATTCCTCTTTATAGGTTACTACTTTTGCTTGCAATTTGGCAAAGCATCGGAAATCTTCGACTCTGGAGTCCAAAGATATATTGTTACATTTAGGTTTGTGCCAGCAACTGCAAAATATGCAAACTTGCTTACTGTGTTTTGTTTTTTCAGAAAAAAACAAGCTATTTATCAATTTTTTAGAATGTAAGATAAGTCATTTCATACTTTATCAAAGATGATAAAATTATAGAAATTAATGGTCCTAGTTGTTGTGTATATTTTCATAATAAGATCGTTTTAATTGCTTTCTGTTAATGAATGTGTTTTTTACATAATTATATGGAGAGATCCTCTGCATTTAGCTTGTACACAGGTTTCTATCTGGAATGTAATTAGAGTCACAAAATTTGGCACCTTACTCCTATTGACACAAACTGGGACCAAACTTTGTTTTCATTTCTGTACGGTGTTCCATCAGTCTCCACAGTTTAATGTCTTCAGCTCTTTGAGCTTTTAAGCTACTTATGTGCACAGCCAACTAGTAGAATTTGTATTCCACCACCTTATAATGTATGCTTCAAGAGTTGCTGGCGAATATATGATGAAAACAGTTTGAATAGCTAAGCTTTCTCTTTAGTCGTCAGGAGTGGCTCTGAAGTTAGGTGTGACCTGAGTCCTGACTTAGTTAAAAAGTTGAGTATCTGTATTGTCCTAGTTGCATCTGAGAGAGTGACACTGTCATTGTATGCAGTATATATAATGGTTTACCTTTTCGTGAATAGATTTACTTCCTCAGTTGTTTAGAACATGTACAACGCAACTCTATCTTGTTCCAACACATCAACTCCTGGTAAAATTTTGGTAGGCTGTTCTTTCTGCTTTGCCTAATGCAGTTGATTTGCTATTTTTGACGGAAAGGCTGCTCATGATCTCATCAATGCAGTAATTCCTGGGAATGCTTACATTTGGTCTATCATTGCTTAAGATGTTTTATAACATAATTTGATTTAGAAAGAACAAAAAATGTGGTATTGGTCTAAGTTAACTATGATGTTTTTTACAGAGAAAGATTGGAATTTGACTGTTCCAGGTTTTTCAAGTGAGGATAAGAAACACCATCCTGAACATGTAAGCTCTTCTTCCTCTCTTAACTTTCATGGGTGGTATACTGGTCTATTGTTATATCTGCAAATAATTGAGGAGTTCTTTGAGTTATGATGAATAGTTAATTATGATCCATGGCCTCTGAATACTGAAAGTACTCGATAACATATTTCTTGAAAAAGGAAAAGAAAGGTTCAATACTCAGCTTTTTGCCCAGGTCTTGTTTATTGTAAATTTTAGTTTCTGATTACAGTGCACTCGTCGCGTTATAAGTCTTCTTGATCTCTTTCTGGTCAATGATTGTAGTAACTTTAAGCTGAGTGGAAATTCAGGCTGTTATAATTAATGACAATATGTTTCTAAACTTTGTGCAGTCCGGTGATCTCTGCAAAGAGCGTTTGGAAATGGTGAGTTGGGAGTCCTTTCGTGATAATACTACCTGCATTTATTTTAGGTGTATAACTCATGGTCTTGGTGCTTGACTCAGATACCTGCCATGATGGAGGCTTCACCACAAGCTGAAACAAGTACAAGCAGCAGCGCTAAGGAGACCGTCAGTCCAGGGCTGGGTGACCAGGTTGGTTCGACTGACATAATTGGACCACCAAGTTCAGAGGAATTGGCTTCACCATCTAATGGTGAAATATAGTTCAACTATAACAAGATGTGATGTCCCCTGGAGATTGGTATACCCCTTGCTTTACTGTAATAAAACCTTGTTCAACTATAGTTTGCTTGTCGACTGAAGAACGTAAACATAAGTTTGTTGTGAATTTTCATGACCTCAACATAAACATAAGTCTGCTGTGAATTTTCATGACCTTTTGTTGGTTATGGTTGCTGCCCCTCTTTGGTATGTTATGTTAAGTTTTCCTTATTATTTTCTATGTCCTCTTTACTTCTGTATTGTTCTGTTAGCTGCTCTCGAAACAACCTCTCCACCTACTAGTGGTAGTGGTAAGGTCTGTGTATACTCTATCCTCCCCAGATCCCGTTTTTGGGACTATAGTGGTTTTTTTTGTTGTTGTGTTATTGCGTGATTGTTCTCCCATTTTACCATTTTTGTCATTCCTTTTGCCACCTCCTCAAATCATATGGCTAAGCTCCTGTTTGGCCATAAGTTTTTCACTTTCTTTTTCAAAAACATTTTGAATACATTGTTTGGTCATAAAAAGTTGACCAACTTTTGAGCAGTTTTTGAAAATGAATTTTTCAAGTTTCAAAAAGTAGTTTAAAATAGTTTTTCAAGCTTTTGAAGTCTTCGACTCGCAAAACTTCAACATAAAATGCATATCCAAACACAATTTCACTTCCAAAAATCATTTTTCATCTCATCTTGAAAACCCACCATATTTATGCATTACAAGAACATTTAAGGAGCCTCATTTAGGGCTTAGCTTCCACCTTAATCCTTATGCTTGTGACTGGGCCGATCTATCAAGCCCAGACTTATCCGGCCTAGCCCTTTCTCGCCACTTTATCGGGTCTGTGTTGGGCCAATCCTTTACTGGGTTTACTAAGAGTCTGTTTGAATTAACTTAAAAGTTAGTCAAATATGCTCTTTAGTTATTTTTAGCTTTTAATAATGTTCGATAAATTTAAAAATAACTTTCAATGAGGTGTGTGTATATATATATATTATATATAGGATGGGCATTTAATATTGGAGTCCCATTTGCAAGCCATGTTCACTTCATGGCTTTACATTTCTTTGGATATAGACTATATAATATAATACCATTAGTATATGATTTTTTTTCCAAGTCTTAATATTTGCTTGTCAGTAAGATGGTCGGGCGTCCTCGTAAAGACAATTTTTCTTCTTATAAAATATAATCCCATAAAAAGAAAACAAATGAGAAAAATACATTTTCTTCTTTCAACCGACAAACTAAATTATATTACATGAAGATTCAATGTTACAAAAAATTTAACCTGTTATCATTCACAATAAACATTCCAAACTTTGAGTTGCCTTTTTCTTTTTTGAAGCTCTTTGAAGAATACACTAGACTTGAAATATCATTAAAAATTATGGTGGAATTATTATAATCTCTTCACTTTTAATTGATTTCGAACCTTACGTACATAAAAAAAAAAAATCATGTTAGGAAATATTTAGTCCTCTAATAGATCTTATGCAACACGTATTTAAATTAATCTTAATAACGAAAAATCAAATAAAAAATAAAAAATAAAAATAGAACTTGAATATCATAGTGTATAGGATATTTGTGACTTTTAACCTAATGCATAAAACAACCATTCAAATAGATTTTACTCCCTTGTTTGGTTAAGTTATCTCTAACTAATACTCACTTTATCCCAATTAATAACTCTTTTTTTTACTATCAGTCTAAAAAAATATATTCTATATTTAGTAATAATTTAATTTTGAAATGTTCATTTTAATCCTAATGAAATGATTTATAGTTACGCTATCATCTATAACTTATTTTAGACCACAAATTTCTACAAATATTTTTTAATTAAAATTCATGTCAAATTAAACTATCTCAATTAAGATGAAGAAGTTTATCTTTTACATTATTGATTTATAAAACTTAAGTGAGTACCAAAAATCAAATCCAAAAACACAAACATGTAAATGAGTCTTACTTCTTCTTCTTTTCTTTCGGATGGTTTTTTACTCGATGTTTGCTATTCATATTAAAATCTGATAGGATTAAAAGTGATAACCTCGTTCAATAGGAAATTTTTGTGTTTTTTTCTAGCTTTAGCAAGATTTCTTACTTTATTATTGCGTTATCAATTATAAAAGCGATGCTTCTAACTAAATTATTAGCTCAAATCCGAGACTTCCGATAATGGGTCCAAAATGTGAAATGATGTTGCATTTTTATTTTTGGTCATGGAATTAATTTACCAAATTAGACCCACCATTAAACCGTTCCATTTCTCTCTCTATCAGCCACTTCTCTCTCTTACCTTCTTCGTCCCCATTTCTGTTTCCTCCATTTCTCAGAAACAGGGGTGAAACCCAATTTATGACCCGATTTCAACTCCCATATCCGACCCGTTTCCCTGCATAATCACTCGGACACCAATACATGATGCCCTAGTTCTTGGGGGCATCATCATCTTCAACAATTCCTCTTTAATACTTTCGAATTTCTGGAAGACATCAACATTTTGGGATCGTTACATTTGCGCCCCATTTAGTTGATTCCTCAAGATCAGAGAGACAATTGGTGGGTGCCATTTATTTTGCAAATTGATGAACCCTAGCTTGTTATGCCTAATTGTTAAATGTGGTGAAGATTTTGCTTAATTGGGGGAAAAACCCAGATGTCAGGAGGATTTGGGGAGTTGATTTGGATGAAAGGGGTTCAAATGAAGGTAAATAGGTATTGAAGATTCATATAGTTGACACCAAATTAGCTTTGAATTGAGGTTTAGTGATTGATTTGCCCATGTATGGATCCGTCATTGTTGATCTTAACTTTTTTGGGTGTTTGCTTTTGCTTCCTTGCTCTTGCCGTGCAATCTCAGCAAAATGTGAGTCCTCCTCCTCCTCCTCCGCCGTCTAAGGAATCTCCACCTCCACCTCCACCTCCACCTCCTCCGCCGCCGCCTCCACCACCATCACCGCGGCCTCCTCCGCCATCCCAGCAAAAACACCATTCTCCACCACCAACAAAATCTGTTCATTCTGCTCCGGAAATGACTACCTCGGAGAGTAAACACTCTAATCATGATAAAAAACACCATAACTCTTATGAGAAATCGCATCAACTAGCAAAGAAAAAGAAGCCAAATTTGGGGAAGAAACTGGGGTTAGTGTTTGTGGGTGTTGCTGGGATGTTGCAGGTGTGTGTGGTGGCGTTCTTGCTAATAAAGAGAAGACAATTGTTGAAGGCTGGTAGTAGATTTTGAATGATCATTTGAATATGGATGTATATTAGTTAGTCTAATTAATTCAGATTTTTATGAGAGCGCGAATGGCAATGAACACGCAATTGACGAATTAGAAGCATTGGGTTCATCTGAAATGTAGATTTCTGCATTTGCATTGGTGGCTACTGTAAATTTGGTAATTCTTGATCAATATTCATATTTATCTTCAGCTGTTCCTGTTAATATTACGTTTTTCGTTTATTATGAATGAGTATCAATGTATCATGTATTACTGGTGTGAATGATTTATGATTTTTATGTGTTCCATAATTTCGAAATCTATTTTCTTTGTAATTGTGCTGCTGCTTTAAGTGAGCGTTTATTCAATGGGTGGATCGACAAAATTGAACATTCCGGTAGTCTGAAGCTGCCAACAGCTTTTGTCAAAAGCTATGTATGATGAGTCCCTTTTTGCTGGAATATTCAGCATATGTTTGTTTTTAGGGTTGGTCTGCTCTTTAGCTGAAATATACTGTCCTGCTGGAAAGCTTTATCCTTTTCGGTGATAGTGAATTCTAAAGAATGTACTTTTGCAGTGCATGTTGAGAAATACAGATGAACGTGCAGACTTAGAATGCTTTGTTTGTAGTTGCTCGTATGTGTAAGAATGAGTTTGAAGTGCTCGATTAAGATCATCTGTAGGTCTCGATCAAGCATAACAATTCAATTAAGACATAGAAAAAGATTAGTAGTGAAAATTCATGGTGCTATGTGAATTTTCACTCTCTTTTGCATTTAAATGATCTTACCATTTTTACTAGTTTAGAAGAAACTAACTAATTCAAGTAACGGTTAATGTAGATGAAGGGAACCTTTTTCCTTAAATTATTAAATATGATGTGGTGTTTGGACCTAGTTGCACGTATCTTGACTAATCCACTGGACATTCCAAAGAATGGGGACTAAATAGATATTCAGACTTCAATTGAATGCAAAACTACTTCTTGATGATGGGAGTTGCTTGGTTTGTAGTAGAATTAACTTGCTATTTGTTCGCGGCTGCTAAAAAGTGATTTGAAGTTCTGTCTAACAGCAAAAATACCTTAGTTACTGCTTGTGCTTCCTTGTTGTGTTTCTATAGGAATGCCAACTCTTCATGACTCCTGTTTTTTTGGTATTGCAGGTCTCAAAGTTGTAAGAATGATATCTCGCTTCGTTTGTCAATTTTATGGAACTGTCTTGGATTTGTTCTGGAGAACATAATGTTACGTCTTCTCTGCCCGGTGAGTATTGAATGATGTAAGGAAACGAGCATACTGTTGATGAAGGCATGACCTGTCATCGTCGAAACTGAAATATGATTTCTAATGTAGAGGTTAAACACTGTAAAACTCTGTTAACTGTTGGTATAATCTAACTGTTGTATCTGATATGAAAACTCGCTAATCCACTTGCAAAATAATATCTACCTTGATTCTTGAATAATGTTGCTTTATTGCATTGTAATATCTACACGGTAAAAACATATTTCTTACGTTGAACGTCCAAAAACATGAGTTGCGAGGTTGAGTACCCTGAGGTTTCGGGTTCAAAACTCAGTTTAGGTGATTCTTCCCTTTTGTTCTTGTCTTTGTGGACATAGTTGCCTGGTACTTGGTACTTGTTGCTGGTAGGAGGTGGTTGGTATCTTGTGGAATTAGTCGAGGTGCGCAAAAGCTGGCCCGGACACCACGGTCATTGAAAAAGAAGAGTTGCAAGTCTAGGACCACTGAAAAAATGTTATCTTTAGTCTGAAAATATGTTCCTCTTTGGTGTGAGCATGTTTCTTTTTGACATGATAATATGAAGGATTGTCATTTTCCCTCTTTCTTTAAGCCGGAGGTCTATCCGAAATAACCTATCTGCCCCACAAAGGTGAGGGTAAGGCCTTCGTACATTTTACCCTCTTCTGACCCCACTTATGGGATTACACTAGGTATGTTGTTGTCGTCGTCGTTTTCTCTCTTTCCTTTTATGCACGTA